AGGGGCGGCACAAGGAGCTGAAGAGGAGCCAGTGTGGGAACGGCAGCTGCTGCTGGCTGGGCTACAAGTCCTTCTGCAGAGGTAAAGCCCCAGGGAGAAGGACGGGGGACCCTTGCGGACGCTGCTGAGCTTTGTGCCACACTCACGAGTGCTTGTGTCCAGCAGCCTGGGGCACCCAGCTTTGTCTGTGGCCAGCAGGCTGCCCAGGCTGCCAGCCCCGGTTCCATCCCTGTCCGCAGTGAACTGCGGGCGGCCCGAGGCGGATTTTAACTCGGTGGTGCACGGGAACGACTGGTGGGTGGGCTCCGTGGTGCGCTACAGCTGCCGGCCCGGCTTCCTGCTGCTGGGGGACCCTGCCAGCGCCTGCCAGTCCGATGGCCGCTGGACCCCCAAGCCCTCCTGCCTCCGTGAGTAGCCCGGGTGTCGCGCTGAGCCTCTGCCAGCGGCTGCAGGCACGTCCCGAGCCCTCCTTGCCCCGGGGTTCCAGGCGAGCCCCCCGCCATGGGCTCTGCCCCTGCAGGGATCTGCCTGCGCGGCCGCATCGAGATCAACGAGCGGGACATCGCCGGCAAGTGCTCCTCGTCCTGCGGCAGCCAGGAGCACCTGGGAGCCTTCCTCAACAGCGGCTGCATCAAGATCTCAGCCTGTGTCACCAAACTCTCGGGCTGGCCCCGCTGGTTCCAGCGCTGTGACATCTGCGAGTGCGACTGCCACGTACCCTGCGGTGAGTCCTGGAGGTGGCACTGCCCAGCTGAGGCTCGCTGGGCTGTGGGGGAGGCTGGCACTGGGAGGTGGGAGCTGCGAACGGCTCCAAATTTGCTTGTCTTTGCTCTCCTCAGGTTCCTCCAGGTAGAGCTGGGCCACCCGGGGCTGTGCTCGTGTCTCCATCGCTGTGCTCTGTCATCCGAGAGAAGAAGAGAAGTTCTGCACTCGCTCTTGCAGGGCTGGCTCGTCCCAGGACTCTCCAGGGCAGGGGATGCTCTGGGAGCAGCCTGTGCTGGGATCTGTGTGTGCTTCCTGCAGCTGGGTTTGGGGACAGTGGTGGCAGCACCCATTTTTCTGGCTGCTTCCCACAGAAGCCTCAGATCCCTTTTAGGGGTGAGGCAGCACCTGTGCCTGTTACAAAATACCTGTCCTTCAGTGCTGCAGGCTGGGATTTCTCCGTGTCAGGTAATTCCAGCTGAGAGGTGGAGCTGCCCTCTGAGCTTGCTGAGGCCAGCAGGAGTGTGACATCTGCCTCCTGTCCCCATGCCACAGACAGAGCAGCCTGGCCAGGGCTGCAGCACCCACTGCTGAGGGATCCAGTGGGTCAAACTTCCCGGCAGCCTCCCTGGGAGTGCAGAGTGGAGAAAGGTCTCATCTCCCAGGTGGAAAATCTTTCCTGTGGGCTGCTCCATCCACTGGTCCTGCTCCTTCCAGGGGATCTGTGGTCCTGCCCTAAGAGCCCCTTTCCCCAGGGGCTTCTCCTCAGAACAGCTTGGGGCCACAAAGGGAGAGATTTGGCTCCAATCAGGAACACCTCTGTGCCCCTTGAGGACATCTCTGGCTCCTTAGGAAGCAGCCATGGAAGCAGCTTTATTCCCCCAGGGAAGGAGAGGGTGGTCTGGAGCACGTGATGGCATTGCTGGGGATGCTGGAGGACCAGCCATGGGTCATTAAAAATATATTTGCAGGGAATCACACAGATTTTCCTGTCATGCAAAGAGGTTCTGCTGCCTGCTCTGTCCCTGCAGCTCTGAACACAGATGACAGAACCAGGACAGGCTCCCTCTGTCACTGTCCTGAGCAAGTGAGCCACCACAGGGACATGGCTGGGAAGGTCCCAGCTGGGGTTTAGAGGGATGTGAATGTGTCCACGGCACCAGGCTCCATCCCTGCTTCCTTCCACCTTGAAATGACTTCATGGCCACCAGCTTGGGCCCAGCTGAGCAGAATGGGGTTTGGCATCGGTGAGGTCATTCCCAGGCCCTCCTTCTGCCCCCCTGCAGGGAGGAAGGGCTGTTTGGCACCGCACAGAGCAGGCCTGGGCTGGGACCTGCTACTGCGGACTGCCCCAGGCATGGGAGGCACCCACATCTCTGCTGGGTACAGAGAGAACTGGGTGAGTCCCACGTGCCTCTTGATCCATGACAAGATGACTTTAGACCTCCACAAGGAGTTTGGCTCCATGGATGCCCTCCCCTGGCCCAGCTCCCTGGTCTCTTCTGCCTGGATCCTGCCCTAAGATCTGGCCCAGCGATGTCACCCTGAAAACTCAGCTTCTGAGCTTGCTAACATGGTTTTCTGAAGACTTTCCCAGGACAGTAACTGTAAACATAGATATGTGTGCATTCTTTCTGTTACATGTCTTGTGATGGACATCTCTCATGGCCAGTGCAGTGGGAAAGTGTTATCCTGACCATCCAATCCCTGGCCGTGGTCAAAAACCTATAAATCCTAGGAGGAAAAATAAACTCTCTCTTCTTTTCACCACACCTCGACCTGTGTCCGTGTGATCTATTCATCTTCAGCGGCAACACAGCCCTAAGCTGGCGAGGGGCGGGGAAAGTTCTCCTTGGCTCAACAGATGGTTTTTTAATTAATACTTTTGCTGGTGCCACTCATTTCCATATGTCTTTCGTGTTTAAGTGCTGTGGTGGGTGAGAGGTGTGAGTAACAGCGAGGAGGGAGCCAGGCGTGGTGCTGGGGAGGTGCAGGGGGATCCAGGTCCTGCAGGATGAGCTGCACCAGGGAGGGTGTGCTGGGAGTAAAACCCTGCAGGGCCAGCCCCCTGCCATGACCCTTTGTGACCAGCTGTCACCCATGTCAATGGCTGTCCCAAGCCATTGCAGCCCGGGTGGCACCCCGTGCCTGTGTTGGGGTGTCTGTGCAGGATGGGAGTGGGTTTAGGGTGTGTTGGGCTCACTCAGGGGGGTTTGGGCTGCGGGGGCAGTGGGGGGAGCTGCGTGGGCTGTGTCCCAGATGCGAACGGGAGCCGGCACTGGGGTGCAGGGGGGTGCAGAGGCAGGGCTGGCCAAGCCCCGGCGTGTGCTCGGGGATGCTCCGGGCCTGCTGGCAGGCAGCGAGAGGAAATAGGGACGGTCCCTTTAAGAGGATTTTTCGCTGCCTGGCAGCGCTGCCCGCCCGAGCAGCCCATCCATCCATCCATCCTGCCGCCCATCCTGCTCCCCGCCCGGTAGCACCGGCCGCGGGGCTGGCAGAGAGGGGCGCCCCCGAGCAGCCCGGCCCGGGGGGGCTGCTGGCCACTGCGGGGCTCCTGCTAGCCACTGCGGGGCTGGGGCCGGAGCGCCCCCCGCCCGCCCTGCCCACCCAGCCCCGCGGAGGGATGGGGAGGAGACCCGGGCCGGGCACCCGCGGGGGCAGCGCCCAGCCCGGCTCCCTCCGCTGAGCGCCGCAGCCGAACCGAACCGAACCGAACCGAACCGAACGGAGCCGGGCCCCGCCCGGCCGGGCCCCCCGAGCATCGCCCCTTTGTCTGCGGAGGAGGCGAGGCGGGGGCGCTGCGGGAGCGGAGCCGCCGCCCCGCACCCTGCCAGGTGAGCCTGCGGGAGAGCCGAGACCTGGTCGGGCCCGGGGGGGCTGGGGATGGAGGGGGCCGGCGGGGAGCAGGGATGAAGGAAGAGCATCCTCGGGCAAAGCCCTCCCGTCCCCACCCCGCGCCTCGGGGCTGGGCTAAGCCGCGGAGAGCCGCTTGCGGGATTTAGCGCTCCGTGAACGCCCAGCCGGAGGAGTCAAGGTGAGCCCGAGGGCGCTTCGAGCCCGCTGCCCCCCACCGCCACCCCCGAGCCTCCCGTTCCTGCACCCCGCGGATGCTGGGAGGGGACCCGCGGGCTGGGAACCCCCACCCCTCCTTCCCACCCCTCCTTCCCCGGGGCTGGGCTGGCTTCCTTCCAGCCCTGAGCGGGATCTGCCTGCAGCAGGGAGCGGGCTGGGGGCATTTCCCGCAGCTCCCGGCAGCCGGCCGCCCCTCGCAGGGGCCGTGTGTGTGTGCTGCAGCCGCAGAGCCACTGCCCGCAGCCCCGCTGAATGTAGGTTAGCGAGGCGGTGGGACCCCAGACCGGGAGGCGAGATGGGTGCAGGGCACAGCCCTCTCAGGCACAGCCCGAGCTCCTTTTCCTGCTGCCGGGGGGATCCCCGACCCCCTCCCAGCCTCTGAGAGCCGGGACAAGCGTGCTCCCCACCCTGCTTGGCTCAGCATCCTCCCAGCACCGCAGAGTCCCCGAGCCGAGCGGAGCTGGGCTGTGCTGCAGCCGGCTGTGGAGCGCTGCAGGCAGGAGAGGGCTGGGGCAGGTGCATCAGCGTCATGGCCCCAGTTCAGTGCCGGCCTGGCCTCTGGGGCTGTGCTGTGAGAGCCTGAAGGTGAAATAATGAGCCGAGTAAGGCACAGAAGGAATGGCATCAGCAGAGCCCCCTCCCTGTTCTGTTAAGGCTCTCCCAGCAAGCTCAGGGGGAACCCAAGCACTGTCTGAGGGTCTGATGTATCCAGGACTGCTCTGCTCCAGGAGCATGGCGTGCTTTGTCCAATAAACCAGCTGGAGTAATCTGCTTGTTTAGGATTTCATACCTGTGTTCCCTAAGGCTGGGGCAGGACTGGTTCCTGGTGGGTCCCTGGGGACATCCAGGCATAGGGCAGGACATCAGCTCTGCCACCTCCCATCCTGCACCCACCGGGACAAATGGGATTGGGGCTGGGAGAGCTGAGCAGCTCCAGCAGCAGAGCTGGACCAAGCTGCAGGAGGTGCATGAATTATTGACTGTGGAGCTGAACAAAATCCTGCTGTTCCTCGCCCTGAGCCCCTCAGCGCAGGCTCGGCATCGCTGGCTGGGTCCATCCTTCCAGCCAGATGTGGGTGCTGGCCGCAGCTGGGCGGAGGGGACAGCGAGGCCTGGAGCCAGCAGGAGAAGGAGAGACAGGACTTGCTGTGGGCTGGTCCCTGCAGTGCCTGGAAGAGGGAGCCCGCTGCGAGCCGATCCCTGTGCACTCCCCACAGAGCGGAAGGATGGCGGAGAAGGGCATGGATCCCGCTTGTGTCTCCATCGCCCTGGAGGACACGGTGTGCCACGCCGGCCCTCCGGATGCTCCGCTGCTCACCACCCACTTGAAGAAGGTGGAGAACCACATCACAGAGGCCCAGAGGTTTTCCCACCTCCCGAAGCGCTCGGCTGTCAACATCGAGTTCATCGACCTGTCCTACTCCGTGCGGGAGGGATCCTGGTGGAGGAAGAGAGGTAGGAGCCGGCAGGTGGGGAAGGGCAGGGAGGGGATGGGACCCGCAGGGCTCTCACAGCCCGTTCCCGTTCTGCATGCCATGATCTCACCCCGGTCTGTCCGAGTGCCAGGGGCTCTCTGTGGCTGGCTGTTTGTTCTGGGTGTCCGTGGGAGGAGGAGGGAAGGCTCGTGTCCCGCAGCAGTTGCTGCATGCCTGCGCTGTGCAATGCCAGGAGAAGGCAGAGCGCATTCCAGGGAAACCTCTGGCCAGGGCAGATATCCCGGGGCAGCCAGGAGGGGTGGGATGGGTTTCCCCGGCACTGCTGATGGCTGTGTGGGATGCAGCAGGAGACCCCAGGGGTGCCCCAGCTCAGAGGGAAGGTGTGGTTTGTGGGGGATTTCCTCTCCCTGGGCAGCCGAGGCCGAGGCTCCCTTCCCTGTGTGCGACTCTGGCCGAGTGCTCGGGGAGGGGAGAGGGGAGGCAGATGGCGGCTGGTGGGTGGCAGTCTGCTTTAATTAGCGCTCTCAGTTAATGGGATGCCAATCAGGCAGCCCGATAAGATGGAGGGTGAGCTGATCTGCAGAAGCCGAAGGCAGGAGGGGACCGAGGTCACAGGGCTGCTCGGTGAGGGGCCCTGCCAGCCAGGAGTGGCGGATGGGGCTCTGCTCCTGTCCCCAGGCTGTGCAGCTCGGGGAACGCAGGCGCTGAAACACGCTGGGAGCAGCCCTGGCATCTGCCGGGATGATGCCTCCCTGTTTATCCGGGATGCTGAGGAAGCATCCCAGGAGGGTCCACGGCACAACCGCGGGTTCGCCAGGGCTGGATCGTGCCGGAGCAGCCCGGAGGGACGCGGCTGCTTGCCAGCGGGCCAATGCCCTGCAGGGAGAGAGGGGGAAAAGCTCGGGCGGCTGGACCAGATGGGAGCAAACCGAGGGGTCCCGGGGTCCGTGGGATGGCGGTGGGAGGGACGCTTTTCTCCCCCCGTTCAGGCAGAGCTGGCGGGGGGTGGCGGTGGCTTTGGCCACAGCCCCCAGCTCCGGCTGGCCCGCCGGGCCGAGGCAGGAGGTTACTGGCAGTCAATGAACGTGAGTAACCGCACCGCAAGCTGCAGTGGCGCCGACGTGAGCAGCATGCGCGGAGCGGAGCCGTGCTGCCGGGGGGGGGGCTGCCGGCCCTGCTCGCCCCTGGCCACCCTGAGCAGCCCCCCGCCCTCCCCTGGCCGCCCCTCTGCCCGCGGGACCCCCTCCTGCTGCGGGGCTCCTGACCCCGAGAGGGGCACAGGAGGAACGGGGCACTCGTGGATGACATTCCCAGGGGATGGACAAACCACAGGGAGCCCCCGGTGAGGTGCCACCCTGGTCTGTCCCTGGGGTTGTCCCAGCTGGGGTTTGTTGTCCTTGCCCCACAGCGGCTGTCCCCGCGGGGCACAGAGGGGACATCCCCACAGAGGGGATGGTCCGTGGTGTTATCACCCCCCTCTCCCATTGCTGTCCAGCCAGGGCTCCATTTCAGGGGCAGCTCCTGACAGCCTGAGGCTGTGCTTGTTCCTTCCTCCCGACACATCATGTTCCTTCTGCCAGAAAATGCTAATCAGCCGCGTTTAAAGCAGAGATAATTCCAGGTCTGATTAGGAGTGGCTGCTGCCGGGTGCCACAGCGTGAATGCCAATGAAGGCAGCAGCCGGATTGGGAATTCTGCCTGCCCCGTGCTGCCCTGCTCGGCGCTGTCCCTCCCCCCTGGCCTTGGGGATCAGCATCTGAAGACATGCCCAGGACAAGTGTCACAGCCTGGTAATCTTCCTTAGCGGCTCTGAGACCTGACCCGGGGATTTCCCTGGTCTTTGCTGCGATCCAGGTCAGGAGCTTCTTCAGCACTGGGAATCAGTGGGATCAGCCAAGGACCAGGGGCAGGGATCATGCTGGAGTTGACAGCTGCTGTGGTGACAGCCCTGGGGATGCTGATGGAGACACCTCCAGGCACACACAGCCCCTGGCACGGCACATGGAGGTCCTGAGGTGCTCCAGGTGCTGGGATGGTGTCGAAATCCCTGTAGCACCGCTGCCCTGGGAAGCCAAACCCCTGCTGCTCTCTCCCTCCAGGGTACAAGACTCTCCTCAAATGCCTGTCAGGGAAGTTCTGCCAACGGGAGCTCATTGGGATCATGGGCCCCTCGGGAGCTGGGAAATCCACCCTAATGAACATCCTGGCTGGCTACAGGTGAGGCTGGGGGGCACCAGGGGGGCTGGGGGTGCAGGGCCGTGCTGCATTCCCCCACTCCTCCTTCCTGCAGGGAGACTGGGATGAAGGGGCAGATCCTGGTGAACGGGCGGCCGCGGGACCTGCGCACCTTCCGCAAGATGTCCTGCTACATCATGCAGGATGACATGCTCCTGCCACACCTCACCGTGCTCGAGGCCATGATGGTGAGCTCTGCATCCCGTGGGCACTGAGACCACACTGACATCAGGCATTTCCAAGGGCTCTGGGACGCGGGAACAAAATCCTGCTGCCCGTGCTCCCTTTACCCTGAGCACACAGGGGTGGAACCACGGTGCAGCCAGTTCTGGTCCCCACATCTGACAGTCGTGTCTCCCTGGCCATCCACTCCCTGCAGGTCTCTGCTAACCTGAAGCTGAGCGAGAAGCAGGAGGTGAAGAAGGAGCTGGTAAGTGCTGAGGAGGGTGGGCCCAGACCCCTCATGTCTCCCGAGGATGGGGACAAGGGGAGCAGGGGATGGCAAGGATGAAGGGAGGTAGCAGGGATGGGATGAGAGTCCATGAAAACCCTTGGCTGGTTCCCAGGTGAATGAGATCCTGACGGCCCTGGGGCTGCTGGAGTGCTCGTACACCCGCACCAGCTCCCTGTCGGGGGGCCAGCGCAAGCGCCTGGCCATCGCCCTGGAGCTGGTCAACAATCCACCCGTCATGTTCTTCGATGAGCCCACCAGGTGAGGCCACAGGGGCTCCCAGCACTGCCTGCCCAGCTGGGCTGCCCCTGCTGGCGTGGCCAGAACCCTCTGGTGCCCACCTGAGCATGGGGTGGGACTGTGCCCCTGGGGCTGATGCTCTTCTGCCTCGATCTGAGGGGAGGGTGCCCACAAGGGGAGGCAAGTGGGGACATCTTTAAGATGTTCTTCTCCCTCTCTCACCTCTCCCCTTCTCTCTCTGCTGTCTCTTTCTCCTCCACCCCATCCTGGGTGGCCACAGCGGCCTGGACAGTGCCTCCTGCTTCCAGGTGGTGTCCCTGATGCGGTCCCTGGCTCAGGGCGGGCGCACCATCATCTGCACCATCCACCAGCCCAGCGCCAAGCTCTTTGAGATGTTCGACAAGGTTTGGGCTGGGACAGGATCCCTCTGGCCCCAAGACCCAGGAGAGAAGCCATGGGAGGGGTGGGCTGCAGGCATTTGACCTGGGGCTTGTGTGGCCGGGGTCTGGCAAGGGTGGCCTGTGTCACCCTGTGACGGGGAGGTGGGCAGGAGAGGGTGACAATGCCCTGGCTGCCCTGCACCTGCCACATCCTGGCTTTCTCCTGCAGCTCTACATCCTCAGCCAGGGCCAGTGCATCTTCAAGGGCGTCGTGACCAACCTCATCCCCTACCTGAAGGGCCTCGGCCTCCACTGTCCCACATACCACAACCCTGCTGACTTCAGTGAGTGTCCCCAGCAGAGGGTGGCGAGGTCCAAACCCAGTGCCCAAGCCCTGGGGGCTGCCCAGGTTGCCCCCAGGTTGCCCAAGGGAGATGCCTGTGCCCTTCCCGTTAGGTGCTGTTGGCTCAGCACCTCTCAGGGGTCCTGTCCTCCTCCACAGTCATCGAGGTGGCCTCAGGAGAGTACGGGGACCTCAACCCCGTCCTGTTCCGCGCCGTCCAGAACGGGATGTGCACCATGGCTGAGAAGAAGAGCAGCCCTGACAAGGCAGATTCATCATGCCCAACATGTGGGACGGTGAGTGGGGCCCAGGGGAGCCTCCTGTGCCAGCAGGGCCCCCGTGCTGTGAACCCAACCCTTGTCCCCGTGGTCTTGCAGGATGTGGATCACATCGAGAGCCACACATTTGCCACCAGCACCTCAACTCAGTTCTGCATCCTCTTCAAGAGAACCTTCATCTGCATCCTAAGGGACACGGTGAGGACAAGGGAGGCTGGGCCAGGGCTCGGGGTTGGGCTCTGTTGGGGGCTGGCAGCAACAAGGAGTGACATGGGCTGCCTGCCTCTCCCTTGAGATGTTTTTGGGCTGTAGCCCCACCTTTCTGAGCCCCCCTGTGCCTGCAGGTGCTGACCCACCTGCGGTTCATGTCCCACATCTGCATCGGGGTGCTCATCGGGCTGCTCTACCTGCACATCGGCAACGACGCGGGCAAGGTCTTCAACAACACCGGCTTCCTCTTCTTCTCCATGCTCTTCCTCATGTTCGCTGCCCTCATGCCCACCATCCTCACCTGTAAGCAGCTCCTCGCCCCAAAATGCCCTCGCTGCTCCCAGCTGGTGGGGTGCATGGCACCCCAACATGGCAGTGTGGCTGTGCTGGGGACCCAGAGGGATTGGGCAAAAGGGGGAAAATAAGAGAGGAAAGAAAAAAATCTAAAGAATGGGAGAAAATCTTCTGTTTGCCTGCATTGCAGTTTTGCCCTTTTAGTTTGGCTGTTTGGCCCTTGTTGGCTCAAAGAAGAATGCTGGAATTTTAAGATTTTATGTTTTATAATTATATATATTTTTAATTTATAACTAAAAATACATATTTTTAACATTTTTTATTTTTATTTTTTATATTGTATATTTTTAATATTTTTATTTTTTTGATCTGAGAAAACATAAAAAATGTAATAAATCTGTATTTTCTGCTTCCCTTCTTTGCTTAAAACGCCCCACCCAAGCTGACTTTTCCACGTGGAAATTTCCCACATCAGTCACTGATTTTTATTTTTTTTTCCCCAATGAAGGTTTGAGCTCCCTGTCACCATGGAGGTTACCTGGTTACCTGCACCAGGGTGGGTGGGAGAGGGGCTGGAGCACCCCAGGGCAGGGAATTGCTGGCTGCTCACTCCCTGTTTCCCTGCAGTCCCCCAGGAGATGACCGTATTCCTGAGGGAGCACTTGAACTACTGGTACAGCCTCAAAGCCTATTACCTGGCAAAGACCATGGCTGATGTGCCCTTCCAGGTGAGTTTTCCGTGGATTTAGTCACCACCCTGACGCTGATGTGCCGTCCTTGGCACAGCCAATTCCTACCCGGTGCCCCGGGCTGGCCGTGGAGGGGTCCCTCCTCCCCCAGGACGCTCTGTGGGGTGGGGATGGCCCAGCAGGGTGATGTCTCTGTCCCCGTGCAGGTGATCTGCCCCATCGCCTACTGCAGCATCGTGTACTGGATGACGGGCCAGCCCCCCGAGGCCACGCGCTTCCTGCTCTTCTCCGCCCTGGCCACCGCCACGGCCCTGGTGGCCCAGTCCCTGGGGCTTCTCATCGGAGCTGCTTCCACTTCCCTGCAGGTCTGACAGGGCTTTGCCTGTTCTGTGCAGAGTTGCAAGGGCCCCCAAGACAATTTGGGGTGAAGTGCTGCCCGCAGGTGGGCAGAGATGTGACCCCCAGTGGCCTCCGCCCCCCAGGTGGCCACCTTTGTGGGACCCGTCACTGCCATCCCTGTGCTGCTGTTCTCGGGCTTCTTCGTCAGCTTCAAGACCATCCCCACCTACCTGCAGTGGAGCTCCTACGTCTCCTATGTCAGGTGGGCCCCCAGCTCTGGGCAGAGCTCCCTGTGCTGGGCTCCCCTGGGCCCCTGGTGACCCTCGGGGTGTGCTCTGCCCTAGGTATGGCTTCGAGGGGGTCATCCTCACCATCTACGCCATGGAGCGCGAGGACCTGGAGTGCCTCGAGGACTTCTGCCCGTTCCAAAAACCCATCAAGATCCTGCAGGAGCTGGATGTGGAGGAGGCCAAGCTCTACCTGGACTTCCTCATCCTGGGCATCTTCTTTGTCATCCTGCGGCTCCTGGCTTACCTGGTCCTCAGGTACAAGGTGAAATCTGAGAGATAAAGGGGCCCCGGTGCCATTCCCGGGCCTGGCCTGCTGTGAGAGATGTTCTGCAGATGGACACGGTGCTCCTGCAGGTCCCGGACCGTGGCGGAGGCACTGGGAGGTGCCAGCCAGGCCTGGCTCAGTCGAGAAGGGTTTTGAGACATCTCGGAACTGTTTTAACCTTCCCACACACTCTTCATTGTAAAACGTTTTGTACAGCCCTGGCATGTGCCACCTTTCCCCCCCAGGACTGATGAGCCCCACGGAGCTTGGGACCCCTCTCGTTATCTCTGCCTGGCGCTGCCCTGGGGACACCAGGGACAGTCCTGCCGAGGTGGTTTGTGCCGAGCACGCCTGGCAGGAGCCTGCTCAGTGTAGGGGGAGCAGTGGGCTGGAGCTGGGCTGGGAGGAGGGAGCTGCAGAGTTGGAAGTGCAGCTCGTGGCCCCGTTCCTCATCCTGGCCAGCAGTGTGTGAGTCGGGGCTGAGAAGAGCCCAAAGATGCCATAGGTGAAGTTGCACAAGGCTTTATTGTTTCCTGTCACCGTAGCCACAGAGATTGCTGCACCCCCTTTCCTTTCTGTGCAAATCCTCCTCCTTTTTTTCCTTTTTTCTTTTTCTTTTTTTGAGTTTAGTTTTGTTTTTTTCCCCACAAACCCCACTGTATCCCATTCTTCACGGAGGGGAAAGGGAGCCTGCAGGCAGAGAAGGACTTGGGGCTCTGTCTCAGACTCCTGCTGGGACACCATCCTCAGAGCCAGGACCTTCACACCAGGGTCTGTGGGAGCAGGACAGTGTTCTCAGACCCTAGGGACTGTCACATTCAGTCCCTGTTGTCTCTGGGGTCTGAGAAAAGAGGGTCTGAACCAAATCAACCAACACAGAGAGAAGTGACTGGTCCCTTGCATGGAGCAAGGAGGATTTAGGTTCCCACACCCTGCCAGTGCCAGGAGGCTGAAAAACAGGGCTGGGCTCAGCTGTGTCATCACTGGAGCCTCTGCTGCAGGAGGAGAGCTGGCCCTGAGCCCTTCCCCTGCAACCTCTCTTCCCCCGGCACCACTGGGGCTGTCTCAGCAGGACAGGGCGGACAAGCCTCGCTCAGCACCATGCAAGGAGGGGATGCCAAGGACACCCGGCGTGTCACAGTGCCAACCCCCCAGGGTGACACTGCAGAAAGGGGTCCCAGCAGTGCCTGGACTGGAAACCAGATGAGATCCCAGAGAGGTTTGTTTGCAGCGGGTGACTTGGACGCTGGGAAGGTCTTTGCACGTCGTGACTGGTGCCAGGATAAGGTCCCTTCTTGGCACATTTCTCTGGTGGCTGCTCCAAAGTCACACACCTTGCAGAGGGAAGGCAATTCCACACCGTGCTGGCTCTCCAGAGGAACTGAGCTGAGCCCAGAGCTGGTGGGGCATCTGCACATGCTGCTGTGCTGGGAACACAGCACCCTGCTTACCTGCACAGGCTCCGTGGGTGTGCTGGCACTGCTGGCAGCGGGCTGCACTTGTCACCCACAGACATGGGAACCCGCAGGTTTTTGGCGAACATGGACACGGGGGAGGCAGCCCTGCCCCACCCTGGCAGGCTGGCCCTGGTTCAGGTCAGCCTGGGGAATCCTGTCCTGGCACTCTGAGCAGCCAGAGATTGCAGGGCAAGTGCCAGATTCCAGCAGAATCCTGGAGACTGATCTTTGGTTTTGCTGGCTTGGGTTGGGGCTGCACAGCAGAGTCTGGCTGGGCTGACACTGATGCTGAGCACTCAGCAAAGCTGAGCTTCCCCTGCCTGGAGAGCATCGAGGAATGTTTGGCCATGGGGCCCTCCTGCACACAGGGTCTGGAAGCAGGACACAGCCTGCTGCCCTTTCCATGCTGAGCATTGAGGTCGTCCCCAGGGGCTGTTGTCTGACTTTTCACTATCCCTCACAAAATTCCCCTCTGCTCCTGGATCTTCCACAGTGGAGCTGTGTCAGCTGGAGGGCTGCAGTGCTGCCAGCCCCAGGGGCAAGGAGGAGCGGGGGACAGTCCCTGTGCCTGCTCTGTCACGAGGTGCATGGATGGGCAGAGAGCTGGAACATGTGGGCTGTCACCCTTCTCCATCCCCTTGTCTCTGGAGCTGATAGGACTGATGTCCTGCTTCTGTCCTACTCTTGGGCTGGGACTAGTTAAGCCTGGCCCAGCACAGAGTGTGCTCTGTTGGGGTGAGGCTTTCCCCTGGATGGATCCCGAGATGCAGGAGGTGTCAGTGGGCCAGCTTTGCACAGCTCCTGCTTCCTCCCTGGCATTTGGGGCACTCATGGTGGGTCCTGTTTTCTGCACCCTGGAGGTGCTGCCATCCCCAGCTCTGTGTCCTGCACCCAGCACACCTGGACACCCTGTGCCAGCACAGCCAGGGCCACCACCGCTCCCAGGAGGACCAGGACAAGATGGACTAGCGAGTGGAGCAAAGGGGCTACCAGCAGGCACCAGCAACTGCCACTGCCCGTGTCCCCCACACACAGGGAAGGCTTTGTTGAACAGGCTCTGCTGCTTGCAGAGAAAGCCTGTGGAATGTTGCTCCCCAGCTCAGAGCAACACTGCCAGGGCAGTGCCAGCCTGCCTGGGATGGAGCAGCTGGCAGCACCTCTGGGATTTCCAGGAGGGCTCAGCACAGCCTGTGCCTCCTGCACCCCTGAGTTGCAGTGTCCCAGCCGAGCAGGTATGTGGCCACTGCGGGGCAGAGGGCCGGGACAAACCCTGGAGCTGCAGGATGGCTGGGCAAGGGCTCTGGGGAGTGGGGGCGATGGGGCAGGCCACCCATCCCCAGGGCAGCAGGACACAAGTGAATGTGTTGGTAGGAGGGGGCTGAGGAGTGGGGGATGTGGCACAGGGCAAAGGCACCCTCGGTGCTGCCTGAGGAACTGAGCCACGGTGCCACCGTGCTTTCCCTCGCTTCAAGGACAGTCCCAGAGGTGGTGGAAGGTGCAGGGAAATGCAAGGAGAAGAAGCAGGTTTGCACTGAGTGGGCTGAGCACCCCGGGATTTATTGCCTGGGTGATCCCTGCCCTGCAGGAGCAGGACAAGAGGGGTTTTCTCTGCCCAGGCATGGCAGAGGGACAGGGTGCAGCCATCCTGCTCCAGGGGGCCCTTAGGGAAGCAGCAAGGATGCACTTTATCAGGGCAGGGAAGCGGAGCCGTGGTTGCTTCTGGCTGCAGGAATCCCACGAGAGAGCGTCTGGATAATCACGAGGAGTGTGATGGAGGAGAGCAGGCTTCTTCCCCCACACCTCCTCTCCTGCCCCTCCCTTCCCTTGTGATGCACTTTGAGGGTGGGGTTCAAGCAGTGGCTCTGGCTCCCTGGGAACACTGGTTGAGCCTCAACCCACCAAAAACTGCTTCAGCCCCTTTGGCCCAAGGCTGTGTCAGGTTCTGCCTCTCACGGGGGCGGTGATGGCAGCCAGGCAGGGGGATGGCCACTCACCTCCATGCATGTCCAGGCCACCTTTGTCACACGCACAAGAAGAGCAAATGCTTCATCACCTGGCTGGGGTTTGCTGGAGGGGAGACTGGGAGAACAGGGAGGGGATGGGGCTTCTCCCAGGGTTTCACCCCTCTCCTAAATCAGGCAATAAAACAGTGTTTCCTTCTCACTGTGTGTGGACACCATTTGTCCTGTCCCTCTGCCACGGGCAGCCTGTGGCTGCCTGGCATCTCTGTGTGTGTCCCTGCCACGCTGGACCCTGTGGTTTTCCAGCCTTCACCGTGTCCACACGTGCAGAGGAGGCTGGACAGTGGGGGGCACGTGTGATCTGGGGGGCATCAGGCAGAGAAGTGCAGGCATTGAAACTCACATTTCCACAAGACCAGAGGCATCAGCTGCTTTCTCCCTGGGACAGCTTGCCAAAATAAGATGCAGGTAACAACTCAAAGGCCGAGGGAGTCTGCTGGCACAGCTCTGTTGTGACAGCTGCTCCGGGGGGCATTTGCCCAGGTCTTTCTGCCTTGCTGGGAGGAGGCTGTGAAGCGGGACCAGGGTACTGCTGCCCACAGCTGCAGCCTGGCAGGAACCAGGCAGGGTGGAGGTGAGGCCCTGGGCTCTCCAGGCTGGGCTGCACATGCAGGTAAGTGCCCCGCAGGGACGGGGTGCCAGGTGCCAGCTTGCTGCTGGCGCCCAGCAATGCTCACCAGAGGGTGCCGGGAGCTGCTGGGCAGGAGGAGATGTTTGGTTTGTGTCGGTGTTTCCAAGATGCCAGCTGTACTTGTTGGATTTCACACATCAATAAAACTTATATTTATAGTGTACTACCTGGCTGTCTCCCTTCCCTGAGAGCCTCGAGGGCACACGTGTGATGGGGGGCGTTGAGTTTGGGGTGCAAATCTGGCCCGGCAGCCTTACCCAGGTGTGACCCCTCAGTCCCAGCAGCCCTGGGTGGGCTGGCACTTCCCAGGACAGCACCCAGGGGCTGAGAACAGTGCGTGTGTCCCCAGCGCCACATCTGTACTTGCTGGCTGGCCAGGGCGGACCAGGCAGCAGCGAGAGGGCAGGTCCAGATGTGCGTGTTTGTGTGTTAAACAGGCACACCCAGGCGCTGCCAGCACAGCTCCTTCTCCCGCAGGGGAAGGATCCTCTCCGGAGCAGAACTCATCCTTGCAGGCTCCAGTTGCACAGCCGGGCAGCAGCTGGCGATACAGAGCCGCCAGATGTGTCCGGGGGACATCGCCTCCTCGCAGCACATCTGGTAAGAGCGCGGCTCCCCCAGTCCTGTGCGTGTTTGGGAGGGCACGAGGGTGCGGGTGCTTCTCCAGGCTCCAGCCGCTCTCCCAGTCCTGCTCGGGGAGCTGGCAGCGCCGGCCGTGGGGCGGGCCAGGGGAGGATGGCGTTGCAGGAAGTTCTGCCTGCGGAGCAGCCGCCTCCGCAGCGGAGCCGTGCCCGGGACAGGCCGGGCAGGAGGCGGATGGGCAGCTCCGGGCTGTGCTCCGTGAGCCCGGCAGCTCGGGCAATGGGAGCTCGGCTTTCCCGGCTGGAATCCTGCTGGACGAGGTAACCCCGGGCTCCGGTCGCGGCACCGGCACGGGCTCGCCGTGGAGCGGGGAGCCGGGAGGGCACGGGCAGCGAGGCCACGACTGCCACGGGTGCCAGCAGGGTGCCGAGAGGTGTCCCTGAAAGGGTTCTGCAGCAGGAGGGCAGCGCAGGGCCCTCGGCTCGGCAGCGCGGCTGGGAACGGGCTGGAATCTGGGCATGGGACACAGGGGGGTTCCTTTCCTGCCAAGGCACCGAGGTCGGGACACCCGTATTCAAGGTCAGCTCCTCTGACTCCGTCCCTGTGCCTCAGTTTCTCCATCTGGATCAGATAAAAAGGGACTGTAAACAGCGTGGCTCGTGGGAGGTGTGAGTGAGCGAGCTGTCACCCTGCTCGTCCCTTCCTCTCTGCTAGGGTTTGATTTTATCTTTCTCCCTATGTGCCTCAGTTTCCCAGGATGTCGGGGGCTGTGAGCACCACCCCGGCTCCTGAAGGATCACCCTGCTGAGCCGGGTTGGGAGCCTGAGTCAGCACCAGCACAGCCGGTTCTGCCGGACTGGACCACGCTGGGTCAGGTAATGCTGGGCAGGGCTCTGCTGCACCACATCCCCACAGCCCCCGGTGCTCTGCTGAGCACCCCGGAGCCCCTCAGCCCCCTCCCCTGTCTTCCAGGAGCAGGATGTCCCGGGCCATGCAGTGCCAGAGCTGCCTGCCCTGGGGCAGCTGGGCACAGCTGCCGCGGTCCCTGGCAGGGAGCAGGGGGACCCGCAGCGTGTCTGTGTGTGCTGCTGCCGTGCCAGGTGAGCTGGGTTCTGTCCCCAGGGAAGCCTGTCCCTCCTGGACATCCCTCCCCAGCTGTGCGGGGATGTGGGGCACACCAGCGAGGTGTGAAGCCAATGGGCTGGGTGGGGTTAGCCCTGCTGGGCTGGAGAGAGCCGTCCCTGACCATGTGCATTCTTCCTCCCCAGCAGGTCCTGCAGGCAGGTGTTTCCTAAGGAAGATCCTTCGCACAAGCAGCATCTCCCTCCCCAGGTACAGTCAGTGTCACACGGCTGGGGCTCTGCCACAGCACCTGGGTGGCTGAGCTGGCTGCCTTGGCACCAGGGACACTGCTTTGCTTCCACCTAGAAAAACAGCCAGACCCACCTCCCTGCCTGCTGTGACTGCAGCCCACCTCCTCTGCCTCGCCATGGGTTTTCTGGGAATGTACAGCCCATGGCTTCCTGACCTGCCTTCACCTCCCAGCCGTGCCCCTACCCTAGCCCGTGCTGTGGGGGAAGGAAGGGGTGAGCTGGCTCCTCTCAGCACTTCCCACAGCCTCGCTTGTGATCTGCCCACGCTGCCCCAGGACGGGTTTGGAGCTGCTCCCCGTGATGCTCTCCCTCCTCCTGCAGGGGCTGCGTTCGCTACCAGGGAGACTCCCGTGAGATCTCTGCTCAGCCCGGCTCCTCTTGCCATGGTCAGTCCCAGCTGAGGAACGTGGCCTCTTCTGGTGAGTTTGCAGCTCTGGTCTGGAGGGAGGGTCCTACACAGCGGGGTGGGGGCAGCTGTTGTCCTGGGCAGTGTGAGGGCTCCCCATAACTGGGTACTGTCCCTTCCCTGCAGTGGCTTGGGGCAGGCAACTTCCCCAGTCCCCTGCCAGTGAGCAGCCCTTGTCATGTCCAGCACCTTCCTCCTTCCAGGTGCCATTAGGAAGCACCAGAAGAGCCTGTCTGCATGGTTCAGCCACCAGCCCAATGAAGAGAGGCAGTTTGGCCCTTCCTTCTCACTGGATGCCGTCCACGTGGACCCAGTGATCCGGGAGAGCTCCCTGGAGGAGATTCTGAAGCCCTCCCCTGATTTAACCATCCAGAACCAGCTCCAGCAGCCCTGTAGAAAGGTTATCAGCCTCCACAACCTCTTTGACGTGGACGCCTGTGGGCGGCAGGTGAAGAACGTGGTGCTCTATGGCACGGTGGGCACGGGCAAGAGCACCCTCATCAAGAAGATGGTGGTGGACTGGTGCCACGGCCGCCTGCCCCACTTTGAGCTGGTCATCCCCTTCTCCTGCGAGGACCTGTCCCACAGCCACGCCCACGTGTCCCTGCGGCGCCTCATCACCAAGAAGTACCAGCACCTCCGGGACGTGGTGCCGGTGCTGGAAGCTTCCAACCTCAGGGTGCTCTTCATCCTCAACGGCCTGGAGCGCCTCAACCTGGACTTCCGCCTGGCTGGCACGGAGCTGTGCTGTGACCCCAACGAGCCCGTGCCACCCTCTGCCATTGTGGTCAACCTGCTGCGGAAATACCTCCTGCCCGAGGTCGGTGGTGCCCTCCTTTGTGCTGGGAGAAGGTTGGGGGTGAGCCCTGAGGCAGTACAGGGCTGTTGTGATAATTATTTGCAGTCCAGCTTGGCTGGCAACCTCTGTTCCTGGAGGGACTTGCCAAGGTGGACTCATGTCACTGGTGGGCTCTTTGGGGAGGCCTGGTAAGGTAATGAAGGCTGAGATCTTCCAGGCTTTATATATGTCTAGGAGGGAATGGGGAAAGTTCTTCTGTCCCCTCTGCCTGGGCCAGGTTTGATCCAGCACCCTTTGTGCAGCAGTTTTGTGACCCCCAGCCTGTGGACGGGGTGATCCTTGTGCACCTCTCAGTGGGTTATGCCCTGCTGAGCAGCCCCAAACTCATCCATCCCTGTGTCGCCAGGCCAGCATCATCGTCACCACGCGCCCTTCGGCCGTGCGCCGCATCCCCGGCAAGTACGTGGGCCGCTACGCCGAGATCTGCGGCTTCTCCGACACCAACCTGCAGAAGCTCTACTTCCAGATGCGCCTCAGCCAGCCGGGCTGCTCCGGAGAGGAGAGCCAGCACCGCAGCTCGGCGGAGCAGGAGAACCTGGTGGAGATGTTGTCGAGGAACTTGGAGCGCCACAACCAAATAACAGCTGCCTGCTTCTTGCCCTCCTACTGCTGGCTGGTGTGCACCACCCTGCACTTCCTCTACTTCACCAGGACGGTTCCTCCCAGCCAGACCCTGACTGGCATCTACACCAGCTTCCTGCGGCTCAACTTCAGCGGGGAGGTGCTGGACAGCACCGACCCCACCCACATCTCCATGATGAAGTACGCGGCCAAGACAGTGGGCAAGCTGGCCTACGAGGGGGTGATGTCCCGCAAGACCTGCTTCTCAGAGGAGGACCTGCGGCAGTGCTTCGAGGTGGAGATGAAGACCGAGAGCGAGCTCAACCTCCTGGAGGTTTTCCGCAGCGACGTCTTCCGCTTCTTCCTCAGCCCGTGCGTGCAGCCGGGCAAGGAGCACACCTTTGTCTTCACCATCCCCGCCATGCAGGAGTACCTGGCAGCCCTGTACGTGGTGCTGGGCGAGAAGAAGACCCTGGCCCAGAGAGTGGGGAAGGAGCTGTCAGAGGTCATTGGGAAGGTGAGCGAAGATGTGGCTGTGGTTGTGAACATCATTTCCAAAGTGCTGCCCCTGCGTTTCCTCCCCGTGCTCTTCAACCTGCTCAAGATCTTCCCTCGCTACTTCTCCCGGGTGAGCGGCAAGGACAAGGATGCCATTGCCCACACCATGGCAGAGGAGCTGTTCAAAGAGGAGGACTACTACAACGACGATGTCTTGGACCAGATCAACTCCAGCATCCTGGGCGTGGAAGGCCCCATGCGCCACCCCGACGAGGCCCCGGATGATGAGGTCTTTGAGCTCTTCCCTATTTTCATGGGCGGAATCCTGTCCCGCCGCAACCGCGCCATCCTGGAGCAGCTGGGCTGCTCCATCAAGAATCTGGCAGCCTTTGAGATCGCCAAGGCCATGAAGAAGACGGTGATCAGGAAGGGCCGCAAGGGCCTGCCCCCCTCCGAGCTCATGGACTACCTGTTCTTCCTGCACGAGTTCCAGAACGAGCGCTTTGCAGCCGAGGCCGTCCGCTCCCTCCGTGCTGTCAACCTCTCCTCTGTCAAGATGACCCCTCTCAAGTGCTCCGTGCTGGCATCTGTCATGAGCACCACGTGTCACGAGGTGGAGGAGCTGAACCTGACCTCCTGCAACCTGGACAGCGGCAGCTTGAGGACCCTCTTCCCTGTCCTGCTGCGATGCAAAGCTCTCCAGTGAGTACCACCTCCTCCTGCCCTTGGGCACTACTCAAAAATTGGGTTCTTTCTCACCTCTGCCCATCACGGGGATGCTTTAGGAGGCCAGGTATGGAAAACTTAGGAAAGGGCATGTTTATCCTCAGGGCAGACCTAGAGGACTACAGCTTCCAAAATGCAACGCTCCTGGAGCAGCCTTTCTAGGGCACTGCATGCTGGGATTTGCAGTCCCAGCTCACCCTCTCGCAGGAATTTTTGGGAAGTTCCCTGTAGCTGGTACAGGCTGGGCGGGCTGTCCTGGCAGACCCGAGTCCCTACGGGAAGTTACCCGGCATCCCCGTGTCGTTCGCTCTGTGAGGAGTTTGCTGTCCCAAAGGTGGGCGTCTGGGCTGTGCAGATGTTCCCACAAACGTTCCAGAACGTTTGTGGAGCTGCAGGTCTTCCTGCCGCCCAGGTGGTGGCGAGACGTGCTCAGCACAGATGGATCGGGCTGTGCAGCTGGGCTGTGCCGCACTTCCTTCCTCCAGATGCTCAGGAGGGCTTGATGGAGCCCTGATCCCTCCTCTGACCTTCACCCACCCCCTGAAGACTCCGCCATCCCCTTCCCCTTGCCGTGCTCTTGCTGGCACTGGCTCTGCTGGCTCATGCTCCGGTGCACTGTCACTATGCTCCCTTTGGGAGAGGAAACCTGGAGTGGCCTAGTTTGGGGAGCCCAGGGAGGATGGTGATGGGCAAAATGGAGCGGGCAGGGCTGCCAGGCTCTCAGGTAACAGCCATTTTGTTCCTGTCACCCCCGTGTCTTGCTCTTGCACCAGTTTGCAGCTCAACAGCCTGGGCTCCAAAGCCTGCAAGGAAATCCGTGACCTGCTCCTGCATGACAAGTGTGTGGTGAGCAGCCTGCGGTGAGTACGGCCCCCGCCCCTGCATGACCCTGCCACTGCTGCCCACCACGTGCCCCGGCACTCCCTGAGCTCCCGTGTCCACAGGCTGGCCAATAACCCCGTGGGCGAGCAGGGCGCTCGCTACCTGGCCGAGGCGCTGGCCGGCAACCGCTCGCTGACCCAGCTGTCCCTGCTGCACACCTCACTGGGGGACCCCGGCGCCGAGGCCATCGCCCAGCACCTGGCCCAGAACCAGCATCTGCAGGAGCTCAACCTGGGCTACAACTCCCTGACGGACACGGCGGCCCTGCGCGTGGTGGAGGTGGCCAAAAGGCACGAGACGCTGGACAAAGTGCAGTGAGTCCACTCCGGCACGTCCCTGCCTTTTGCCCACGCGGTGTCCCCTGTCCTGTCTGCCTCTGTCCTTCCCCTCAGCCCTCACCAGTGTCTCCTGCTGCTTTCCCAGTCTCTACTTCAACGACATCAGTGAGGATGGCAAGAGGGCACTCGACAGCCTGCGCATGGACCGGGACGGCGTCAGGGCTCTGGTTTTCCTCACGGCGGGCACCGACGTTTCCGATTACTGGTCCCACATCCTGAACGTGGTGCAGAGGAACCTGCCCTTCTGGGACCGAGAGCGGGTCCGGCAGCACCTCGCCCTCCTCCTGCAGGACCTGGAGAGCAGCCGCAGCCAGACTGCCAACCCCTGGAGGAAAGCCAAATTCCTGCGAGTCGAGAGCGAGGTCAAGAAAATGCTGGGGAAACTGCAGGATGGGAGCCTCTAACCTGCTGCCCATCCACCAGCCAGGACTGGGCAGTGGAGTGTGTGCCCACCTGGAGATGCTGGGTGGATGGTGCTGGGTGCGTGGGGCTCAGCCTCGTCTGCAGGCGAGGCTGAAGTGTGGGAACAGGACAGAAACCAGGCCAGGAGTAAATGGGACTTGTTCTTCTAGGCTTGTGGAAAGCCAGCCCCTGCACCCTGGCCAGAGCAGTGGCAGGGAGCAGGATTCAGGCTTGTCTGTGAATCTTTTGGGAGCATTAAAGTGCACCTCTTTCTTTCCACTGAAGCACACTAGTACCAAGACTTGATCTCCTTTTCGGGCCCTTCCTGGGGAGGAATGTGGAGCCGCCCCTCCAGCAGCTGGAGCGGAGGGTTCTGCCTTTCCCCGCCTCACAGTGCTGGCATGGAGCAGCCCACCTCTGCTCCAGTGCTGACCCAGTCATTCTCCCCTCCCTGTGTCCCCCGGGAAGCCACCAGGAGCTGTCCCCAAGCTGGGTGTCCCGGGGTGCTGGCCCTGCTCCCAGCTCCGACTGGCAGTGCTCTGGGGCTGGGAGGGCAGGGGAGACTCGGGGCTGTTTAACCATTAAACCTGGGGCGTCTTGCAAGAGGCGGGGACACCTCCCTGCCACTTCACCCTGTACCTTGCTCCCTCTGGCAATCCCTGCAGCCATGAAGCAAACAAAAGGTATGTGCTGGGGAATCCTCTGGAGACCCTTCCCCACACACACAGACCCTGCTGCCAGATGGAGCAAGACCATGTCAGAGCCCAGGCAGCCTGTGGAAAGGAGCCAGAGGCATGCAGGAAAATGTCTCGTCATGGGGATGCTGGGGAGGAATCCCCTCTCCCTGGGTTTGGGGTTTCCTGTTCCCAATGAGGTGTGGAGGGGTTTTATGGGGGGTTTGTGCCAGGGAAAGTCTCTATTCCCTTCTCCTGGCTCCAGCAGCTCTCTGAGGTCCTGGTGAACCTTCTCATCCCTCACTGAAGAGCCCTGTAAGCCCCCAGGACTGTGCCCCATCTGCTTGGCCCTGCTTTGCCCCAGCAGTGAATGCCCATGGGACCTGAGCAGCAGGTCCCGATGTTGGGAATGCAGGACAGTGGTGACAGGGCCAAGGAACAATCTGTGCTGAGAGACAGAGGGGCTTGGGGGCTGTGTGGGCTTGGCAAACCCCCTCACCTGGCATGGCAGGCTCAGCCTGTGAGTGGACAAGCCCTGAGTGCTCGAGAGCGTGGGGTCTGCTCCCAGCCCACCACCTCCTGTGCTGACCTCTCCTCTCCCTCTGCAGGGCTCGAGGGAGACAAGATGTCCATCATGTAAGTGCTGATCTCCCCTTGGCCAGGGGCTTTCTGGGGCTCAGGAGAAGTGTGGAGAATGGTCCAAGACAGAGATCCTCTCTGGCTTTCCCAGGCTCCAGCTGGCCCTTTCTGGGAGGAACAAGCTCCCCAAGGCTGGGGGAGGCAGGGGTAAGGCCATCCTGCACTAACATGGCCTCTCCTGCCCTTTGTCATTTCAGAAAATTTGAGTTTAACCCCAAAGTTGGGATCGACAACCCTGCCTTGACACTGACTGAGGACACGGGTAAATACACCCCCTCATCTCCCAGGGTGTCCTTGTGTCTGCACGGGGTTGTGGCACCTGGGCACTGCTGGGGCCCTGAGCTCTCTCACTCACACTGGGGACCTGTGGGAGGTGAACACAGAAGGGATGAGCAGATCCCCAGCCCAGGATGGGGTGGAGAACTTGTGTGAGGATCCCTGCAGGGCCCTGCTCACAGGCTGTGCCCCCACACAGATGGTGAGGGCATGGGGGAGCCCCGCTTCTACCTCCTGACCAAGGACAGCACGGAGACCTTCGGCTTCTGCCTGCACGAGGAGCTGGGCTGCCAGGGCCACGTCATCCGGCAGATTGAGCTGGGGGGGGTGGCCCAGCGCAGGGGGCTGCAGGACGGGGACCGGCTGCTCCAGGTCAATGGCCACTTCGTGGACCACATGGACCACCTCAGGGTAAGCTGGGAGCATCCCATGGGAATGCCTGGATCCTCCCCAGCCAGGGGAACGGAGGATGCATGACCCCTGCTGACCCCAGGGACCTTGATCCCTCCCCATCAGAGGGTTCACAGCCTGGGTTCTTCCAGGTGGTGCAGAAGATCAAGGCCAGCGGGAACCAGGTCCTGCTGGCGGTCCTGGACGGTGACTCCTACGAAGCAGCCAAATCCCTGGGCAGGGACCTGTCCCAGATGCTGCCGGATGACATCCGCCCGCGCCTCTGCCACGTCACGAGGGACAAAAGCGGCTTTGGCTTCAGTGTGTCGTGTCCAGAAGGTAAAGCAGGATGCTGCCACCATAAGCCACCCCATTGTAGCACCTCACTCACCCCAAAGTGCCCCTTCTGCTCCTCCTGCAGGCACCAAGGGCACTTTCCAGCTGTCGGTGCTGCAGGACGGGCCAGCGGACAGGGCAGGGGTGCCACCAGGCTCCTGGCTGTTGGAGCTGAACGGGGACAGCGTGAAGAGCTACTCCCACACACAGCTCACCAAAAAGGTGCCTGGTCCTGGCATGGGGGGCGAGGGATGGGGCTGAGAATGTCACTGAGAGCCCCGTGCTTCCCATCCAGCTTAAGCAGAGCGGCAACAAGGTGACACTGCTGGTGGCATCCAGCTCCGTGGAGGAGTTTTATCGCCTGCGGGGCCTGCGGGTCACGGCTGCTTTGGCAGACACCTCCAGGCTCCCCTTCAAGGTCCGGGAGCTGCACCTGGTGAAGGGTCCCGCTGGCTACGGCTTCCTGCTCAAGGAGGATGACTGCAGCTCGGGGGGAGTAGGTGAGGAGGCTGAGAGGGGCAGTTTGTACCTGAGCAAGGCACTTCTGAGGGTTGGGAAGAGCCGACAGCTCTGTGCCTGCAACGGGACCCTGTCCCCACCTGCACACGGGGGTCAGCAGGGCCAGTTCCCCTCTGCGAGCCTCTCCCCGCTGTGGCAGGCCAGTTCCTGTGGGATGTGGATGTGGGGCTGCCGGCCGAGCAGGCAGGGATGAGGGAAGGGGACCGTGTGCTGGCAGTGAACGGGGAGAGCATCGAGGGGCTGGACCACGAGCAGACCGTGCGCAGGATCCGCGCCCGGGAGGACCAGGTGACGCTGCTGGTCATCGACCCCGCTGGTGATGAGTTCTACCGCTCGGTAGGTTTTGGGGACATGGTCCTGCTCTGCCTGGGGAGCCCTGGGGTGCTGTGAGGCTGCACGGTGGGATGGGTGTCCTCCACAGGGGCTGTGCGTCCATCCCTCTTCTGCTCTTCCAGATCGGGCTGTCCCCCCTGCAGTTCTTTGAGGACAGTGACCCCGCCTCAGGCTCCTGCACGCCCTCCCTGCCCTCCCGCAGTGGCTCCCCTGCACTCTGTGACGTTGAGGTGGGACCCAAGGGACCTGTGTCCTGGCTGATGGCTGCTGCCAACAGTATAGAGATCATACAGGTAACTCCTCAGGGCAGCGCTCACAGCCTGGCAGTGCTCTGAGTGCTGCCACCCTCCTTTCTGCCCATCCTAACATTTCCCTGGCACCTGTGGTGCTGCCAGGAGGAAGCTGTGTGCTCCCCTGGCCACAGGGGCCAGGCAGAAAGACCCCTCCAACCTGTGTCCCCGCAGAGCCAGCGCCAGGAGGAACAGACGAAGCTGTGCCAGGCATTCTAACAGCCCAGGAGCCTCTGGACAGGCTCTCCCACACAGCACCTCCACCCAGGCCACATCCAGCCCCTCGAGCCTCAGCACTGCTCAGCATGGACCCTGCACACGCAGCTCCTGTGTCTCCATGCCTGGCTCACAGCATGACCCTCCCAGGGACTTGTCTCTGCTCACCGAGGCTGGCTCAGAGCTTTTATCAACCACAGTGGCAGCTCCTTGTAACCTGACCACAAACCTGTGTCTTTGCCTGCTCAGCTACCTCCAGGGATTTCTCAGGACATTGCACTGAAGCCCTTGCCCAGCTCCAGGCTCTGGGAGTTCCCAGGAGAGCTGAGGCACTGCCCTCTGCACCGTGACTCAGGGGACTCGAGGGTTGGCTCAGATCTGCACATGCATGGACATCTCTCCTGTGCTTCTCCTCTCATCCTCTCCCTGAAGCTGTGGGCAGTGAGTGTCCACCACCCACCACCCTGTTCCTGCACCACCCTTTTGGGGTGTGATTAAAGGACAAATCCACACTGCTGTTTGTGTGGGTGATGCTATGGACAGCACTGTGTCTTGGCAGCACATCCCGGGGCCAGATCCATCCTCTCTTCCCAAGCCTGGAGCTGGGCAGTGGATGCAGGAAGCTCTCCAGGTGTGCTGCTGAGAGGGTAGGGGCTGAAAGCCATCCTGAGAGCCTCTGTACCTCCAAGAATTTGAGGGCAAACTCCTGTAGGCATCCCTCGTGCTCCATGGCAAGGGTTGTTCCTGAGGGTTCCCCTTGCAGGTGACACATCAGGAGCATCCGTTCGTGCCCTGCCAGGCTGTGACAATGCTGGGGGAGGGACACAGGGGGGTTCCGGGGCACGGGGGGGTCCCAGCAGGGGAAGTTTCACCTCTCTGCTGAGCGTGGGAGAGTGAAAATGAGCAGAATTTTGCACGGGGCCAAGAACCGCAAACCTCTGGCTGAGGTTTTACCTCAGCCCCTTCTCGAGCGCGAACGGAAATGCGACACTGGAGCAGTGCCCCGTCAGGTGGGGAAGTCTCTGCCTCTGTGTCCCCTGAGCTCAGTGCAGGCATCTGCAGTGCAAGAAGCCCTTTTGGGAGCCTTTGGGAGCTGACAGCTCGGGAGGGAGCAGGGCTGGCCAGCTGCAGGCTGGTTTGGGGCTGAATGGTGGGAAAAGCTTGGCTGGGAGCCCCAGCAGCTCTGAGGTGTGGGGTCCCTGCATCTGTCCCAATAGCCCCGAGCAAAACCCTCCCAAGGGGCCCCAGTGAGACAGTCAAAACAGCCCCAAGCAAAATCAGCCTTTGCTTGAAGTCTCACATGTAGCTACAGCCCCAGCTTGGAGTGAATAATGCCCAGAGAAGCAGATAGTCAGGAATGCAATTACTCAAGCGTGTTCCCTGATCTGTTTGGATCAGAGCCATGGTGATTTTTGTACTTGGCTCTCACAAAGGCAGTGTTGCCCTCCCCAGTTCTCTCCCCAGGTACTTGTGGTAGCGTGGAGCTGGCCAGGGCACCCGCTGGTGGTCAATCCGGCTTGACTATTAGCCAGAATCCATTAGCACCTAATGGGAAAAGCCTCAGGAACACGGCCTCAATAAACCTTGACATATTTGAGGTCAATATAATCCTTAGGAAAATTTGCCCAGGTAATTAAAGCCAGACAAGGAGTTGCCTGTCCCAGAAATATTTACCAAGCTTTACCAAAGGCAATAAAATGAAAGCAAGGAGTTTTATAACCAATCCATGCCAGGCTCCCTTGTTTTGTTTAGTGCTGCTTCCTGCTGAGCTGTCCATCTGGCTCCTCAGCAAGTGGGTGCCACAGGGGGAGCAAAGCTCCCTCGAGGAGGTTGGATCCAGAGGTTGAGGCTGTGCTGTCCAACCTCCAGGCCTGAGTTTGGGGTGCTCATGTTCCCCAGACCGATGTGGCCAAAGTGCAGCACCCACAGTTTTCCTTTGCCTGGTTTCTGTCACTGCCGTGGCGTACCAGCCACAGCTGGCTTTTGCAAAAGGATGTGTCCTTCTGCCTGGGAGAGGAGATGAAAAGAGGATCTGAAGGCAGCAAAGAAACAGAACTTAACTGACTTTCAAGCACATGTTTTAATTTTTTGAAAGTTTGCTGGTGTCAGCTCTGACAAACTCACACTTTGGTTCCCTTTAGATTCCCTGGTCCCCTTTTCTCTCCCTGGTCCCTTTTCACTCCCTGCTTCTCTTTTCTCTCCCTTGTCTCCTTTTGACTCCCTGGTTCTCCTTTCTCCCCCTGCTTCCTTTTCTCTCCCCGATCAACTTTTCACTCTCTGGTCCCTTTTAATTCCTGGCCCCCTTTTTCACTGCCCGATCCCATTTTCTCCCACGGGTCCTCTTTTCTCTCGCTGCTCTGCTCCTGCTCCTTCTCCCGTCGGGAACAGGGGCTCAGGTCCGGTGGGCTCTGCCTGTCCCTGCCTTTGCGGGGAGATGCCTCAGGTACCTGCCAGGTGCACTGGACGCTCTCCCGTTCCCATTCCCTCCCTGCCATGGGGATGCCGGTGCTGCTCCTGCCTCTCTGGGAGAAGGGGTGGGGTGCAGCGCCGCTTCCCCGCGTCCGGGCCGTTCTTAGAAAAGGGAACGCGTCTTCAGGAAAGGGGAAGCGATCCCGTTTCGCAAACTGGGCGAGGGGCACGGGAAGGGCCGCGAAGGCCGCGGGTCCCTCCCGGGGGCGGCGGGGCGAGCGCGGCCCCCGCGTTCCCATGGCGACCGCGCCCCGCCCCGCCCCGCCCGCACCAAGCATGGCCGCCGCTCAGCCCTCACTCCGCTGTACTGCGCATGCGCCTCGCACTTTCACCAATCAGCGCCGGCTCCTCCCCGGCGGAGGGGGCGTGGCCGGGCGCGCGGGGGGGCGGGCGGCCAACCAGCGCCGGCGAGGAGGGCGGGGCCTCCCTGGAACCGGGCGCCGCCGCCGCCGCCACCGCCCACGGCCGCCGCCGCCGCCGCCCTGCCCGGCCCGGCCCGGCCCGGAGCGCCCTCAGCCCGGTCCCCTCCAGGGCCGCGGCCCCGGTGCCGGACGGGCCCCACGGGCCGGGTGTGGGCGCCCCCATGTCGGCGCCGCTGAAGAAGGGCCCCGGCGGGCTCATCGGGCTGATGAAGGACGCGTTCCAGCCGCACCACCACCACCTCGGGCCGCACCAGCCCGGCGCCGTGGACAAGAAGATGGTGGAGAAGTGCTGGAAGCTCATGGATAAGGTGAGGAGGGCGGTGGGATGGAAGCGGCCGCGGGGGGCTGGGGTGGCGTGGGGTGGGGTGGCTGTGGGATAGGGCTGGCCTGGGGAGGTTGGGACTCTGGGATCACAGGGGATGTGGGATGAGCCTGGAGCTGTGGGGTTGGCTGGGAGAGAGGGCTCTGTGGCTCGGGGGGAAATCCTTGGGGGACTGAGAGGTGTGTGGGCACAGAATGGGGTGCAGCACTTTGGGGGAAGGTAGTGAGCATAGAATGACAGGACAAGGGGGAATGGCTTCACACCGATGGGAGGCAGGGCTGGATGGGATCTGGGGAAGAAACTTCCCCCTGGGAGGGTGGTGAGGCCCTGGCACAGGGTGCCTAGAGGATCTGTGGATCCCTGGAAGTGTCCAAGGCCAGGTTGGAGAGGGTTTGGATCAACCTGGGATAGTGGGAGGTGTCCCTGCCAGGGACTGGGACAGAATGGACTTTAAGATCCCCAACCATTCTGTGATTCCACGTGGATCTGGTGTGATGGACAAGAGGCCAGAGGCAGGATAGCAATGGGATACCAGCATGGGAAGGTATGAAGGGAGATCAGCAACTCTGCACAAACAAGGTGCAGGAAGAGGGGACAGTTTGGATGGAGGATTTAGAACTGCCTCAGAGGATCTGCGATGCTTCCCTAGGCGGTGGTCACAGCCCTAAGGCTGCCAGACCTCAGCATTTGGATCACACTCTCAGGCACAGGGTGGGATTGTTGGGGTGTCCTGTGCAAGGCCAGGAGTTGCACTGGAGGATCCTTGTGTGCCCCTTCCAAGCCAGGATATTCTGTGGTATCTGTATTCATGTACAGCTAATTTCAATCCTGTAGGTGCTGGGGTGGGCACTGGTGGTGCTGGGAATGGGTAGGGGCTGGTGGGGAGCTTGCAGGTGGTGACAGCAGCAGGACAAGGGAGAAATTTAGGATTTGCCCCTTGGAAGGTGTGCCTTGGCCTGTGCTAGAGCCTGGTGTGTGGGTAGTGGATGGTGAAGCTTTGTGGCAGGTTATTCCTTTTGGAACGAACAGGAATGTGTTACTGCGCTCAGGACAAAACCTTTTCCTTAAAGCTGAGCTGAGGAAAAACTGAATAAACCCTTTTGCAATAAGTACATGTAGCTACAGAAAGATAAAGTATCAACTGATGTAAAACAAGAAAAACTTGTGGCGTGGGAGTTGGAAAGGCCTTCTTCCAGTCCCACACCTTTAGGAGGGGCACGGCTCTCTGGGGTCATTAAGACTCTCTGCTCCTCCTCCTCCTCCTCCTTTTAAAATGCCAGGAAATGGCTCTTGCCGGGGGCAGGACACCAGACCTTTTGGCCTGTTGGTGTGATGGGATATTTGATTTACTGGCCTGGCTAGGTGTGCTGGTCAGTCCAGTGTTTTCAGAAATCCTGGGGAGTTGTCAGGGAATGATCAAGTGGGTGAGCGCAGGCACACAGAAATAGGCACAAAATAAAAATCTAACACTTTTGTGGAGATTTCATTGATAATTACTGTTCAACGCTGAAATCAAGGCTAGGCTTGACATGTTGCAGTCTGAAATGTGCAGTGCATTTTATGACACTGAGTTCAAGGCCCTAAAAGTAGTATAGAGTAATAGCATCACCCAAGTTGCCCCCAGGCCTTGGGGACTGTCACCTGGCCACCTCCTTCTCCTCTGGGGGCAGAGCAGGCAGGGATTTTGGGCATCCCTCATCCAATTGCCCCTCAGGCTTATGCATTTTCCTTCTCTTTCCCCTGCATTGTTTATCCATGCAGTGTCTGAACCTCCTGCAGTAAGTGCTAAAAGCAGGCAGAGTAAATGACTTCTTTAAAGGCGTATTAAATTATATTCCTGCCAAGAAATCACTCTGTGTTGGCTGGCTCAACAAAAGCCACGGTTTAT